GAGTTTTGCAGCTGAGAAGCTTTTCCAGGTCCCTCTTTCTCAATGGCTGTGAATATCGGAATAATCACAACCTCAATTCCTCAGTTCCAATGGCCTATATTTTGAAGGTACAAAGCCTTCCTCTGGTGCCAAAGAACTGGTTTGAAGGTGCTTGAGACTTCCCAACGTCGTTCAGGTTGATCTGAACATGAAGCGTAAGTCTCAAGGGTAAGAACCTCAGAATTGGTGCTGAGAGGTAATTTAATCAGGGGCTTTTAGAGCCAAGTCTCTTACTCACATCCATCTGGTAGAAAATCTGATGGTGGAATGAAAAAAGGGAAGCACTCCCCTCCTCCAGGAAGAGGTGGAGCCAAGCAATTGAGCTGAGAAAGCAATTCAACTGGTGCAAACAACATTAATTGACAGCTATAAATAACCAATCAATCCAACTATACATATGCAGGGTAAAAAGGCAGGATTAAGCATGATACAACAGTTTAAATCTTGCAACTAACAGTTATACATATATGTGGTGCCACTCGCACCATCACATATACTGTAACATTAATGTAGTTTGACACCACTTTAAGTGGCATGGTGTGAAGCTATGGGGTCCTGGGAGTTGTAGTTTGGTGAGGTACCAGCGCTCCTTAGCAGAGGAGGCTGAATACCTTGTAAAGCTACAGTTCCCATGCAGGTGGTATCAATCTGCATTTATTCTACAGTGAAGACTCACGATGTCACTCTTATCAAGGAGGACATCGAAACAAACATAGACAGGATATTAAAGGCAGCAAGTCAAGAAATGAAAATAAACAAAGCAGCCGCTTGTGCTTTTGTTTTCCTTCAGCAAGAAACACATCACGAAAACCATGGGATCCTACAAAAAGGGGATTTTACTCCGGACTTTCTTCAAGAGCGTCTTTTCGCTTTCTCCGGTGAAGATCATACAAGACGAAGGAGGAGTGGATAGCACAGCCAACCTTCAATACACAAAGGTAGTCAGTCAGTCCAGTGTTATTGGGAAGTTACCGTTGTTCATAATGTGCGATCAAGGGTCCATCTACAGTACAGAGTTAATGCAGTTTGGTGCCACTTTTAACTGCGGTGGCTCAGTGTTATGGAATCCTAGGAGTTGTGGTTTGGTGAGTATTGTAGCTCAGAAGATGAGGAAGGGGATGCTAGGATAGATTCAGAAGGCCCAGAGGATGACAGAAGGGGCCTGAGGAGAGTTGTTTTGGAATGTCCTGACAGTTCCCATGAGACTGGAGAAAGCGATATCAGTTCTCATGAGAACCTTCCAGAAGTTCCAGCTGAGAGAAAGGTGGGAGATGAATGTTTGTCCAGATCAAGGTGTTTAGAAATTTAGAGGCAGAGCATACAAGTCTGACTTGGCCAGGGCGGTCCACGCCTTGGTTACATCCAAACTGGACTATTGCAATGCGCTACATGGGGCTGCCCTTGAAGACAGCCTGGAAGTTTGAACTGGTACAATGGGCGGCAGCCAGGCTCCTTACTGGAGAAAACTATAGGGAGCATACAACACCCCTCTTAAAACAGCTTCATTGGCTGCCGATAAGTCGCCGAGCCAAATTCAAGGTGCAGGTCATGACCTATAAAGCCGTAATCAGTTCGGGCCCCACCTATCTCCGCGATCGCATCTCCTATGAACCGGCATGAGCTCTAAGACCTTCCGGGGAGGCCCTCCTCTTGGTCCCACTACCGTCTCAAGCGTGGTTGGTGGGGACGAGAGAGAGGGCCTTCTCAGTGGTGGCCCCCTGCCTCTGGAACGCCCTTCCAAGGGAAATAAGACAGGCCCCATCCCTCCCCTCTCCGATTGCATCTCCTTCTATGAACCGGCGCAAACTCTAAGATCTTCGGGGAGGCCCTCCTCTCGGTCCTACTACCGTCTCAAGCGGTTGGTGGGGAGGCCTTCTCAGTGGTGGCCCCCCAACTCTGGAATGCCCTTCCAAGGGAAATTAGACAGGCCCCATCCCTCCCTGCCTATCTCTGTGATCGCATCTCCTTCGATGAACCGGCACGAGCTCTAAGATCTTCCAGGGAGGCCCTCCTCTTGGTCCTACTACCGTCACAAGCATGGTTGGTGGGGACGAGAGAGAGGGCCTTCTCAGTGGTGGCCCCCCAACTCTGTAATGCCCTTCCAAGGGATATTAGACAGGCCCCATCCCTCCCTGCCTATCTCCGTGATCGCATCTCCTTCGATGAACCGGCACGAGCTCTAAGATCTTCCAGGGAGGCCCTCCTCTTGGTCCCACTACCGTCTCAAGCGTGGTTGGTGGGGACGAGAGAGAGGGCCTTCTCAGTGGTGGCCCCCCCATCTCTGGCATGCCCTTCCAAGGGCCCCATCCCTCCCTGCCTATCTCCGTGATCGCATCTCCTTCGATGAACCGGCACGAGCTCTAAGATCTTCCAGGGAGGCCCTCCTCTTGGTCCTACTACCGTCACAAGCATGGTTGGTGGGGACGAGAGAGAGGGCCTTCTCAGTGGTGGCCCCCCAACTCTGTAATGCCCTTCCAAGGGATATTAGACAGGCCCCATCCCTCCCTGCCTATCTCCGTGATCGCATCTCCTTCGATGAACCGGCACGAGCTCTAAGATCTTCCAGGGAGGCCCTCCTCTTGGTCCTACTACCGTCACAAGCATGGTTGGTGGGGACGAGAGAGAGGGCCTTCTCAGTGGTGGCCCCCCAACTCTGTAATGCCCTTCCAAGGGATATTAGACAGGCCCCATCCCTCCCTGCCTATCTCCGTGATCGCATCTCCTTCGATGAACCGGCACGAGCTCTAAGATCTTCCAGGGAGGCCCTCCTCTTGGTCCCACTACCGTCTCAAGCGCGGTTAGTGGGGACAAGAGAGAAGGCCTTTCAGTGGTGGCCCCCTGTCTCAGGAACTCCCTTCCAAGGGAAATAAGACAGGCCCCATCCCTCCCCTCCTTTCGTAAGAGCTTGAAGACCTGGTGGTTTCAACAAGCCTTTGAAAACGACCAGTTCTAACTCAGCCCTACACATTGTCGAATACGGCCTTATTCTTCCTACCAATTACCCAGATCCTTTCCTCTAATCGGCCCCGGAATGAACAGCCACAGACCCGTACCTAATATTATTGTTGCCTGCCATAGCATTGCATTTAATTCCTGGGCCCCCTAGAATTTTTGGGCTTGCACAAATCTTGGCCCGGGCACTTAATTCCCAGGCCCCCTAGAATTTTTGGGCTTGTATAAATCTTGGCCCGGCCTATTAAATTTTTAAATTGCCTTGAACAGGCAGGATTACTTTTAATATATGTGTGCTATGGCGACAATTTTTATGCTTATATTTTATTTTGTTAATCTTATGGTTATGCTGTTTTTTACTTGTATGTTTTGTGATGTTACCTGGGAACCACTCTGAGTCCCCTCGGGGAGATGGAGCGGTATATAAGTAAAGTTTTATTATTTATTATTAAGTGCCTCCATGTCCCATCCCAAAAAGATAACATGGCTCAAAGGTTTGGTTGCCACTGAGAGGTCCTGCAGAACTGAAAGGGATTTATTCTTCTTATTCAGTTCTTAGAAAAAGGTTTAATTATTATTATTATTATATATTATGTATTATTTGTTACTAGTAATACAAAATCGTATCTTTGAATGTGGTTTAAAGATAAGTGAAGCAGGTGTGTTGGGAATCGATGTTTAGTTTAGGCAGGATTTTTTAATATATGTGTGTTATGGACAATTTTTATGCTTATCTTTTGTTTTCTTAATCTTATGGTTATGTTGTTTTTTACTTTGTATGTTTTGTGATGTTACCTGGGAACCGCTCTGAGTCCCCTCGGGGAGATGGAGCGGGATATAAATAAAGTTGTTGTTTTTATTTATTTATTATTATTATTATACAACAGCGACAGACTATCTCAGCGGCTTAGAGATAAGTAGAAGCAGGTGTGTTGGGAATGATGTTATGGGAGGGTTTGAGGCATTTTAAGTGGTTTTCTGCTGTTACAATCCTTTGTGAGAGCAACATTGTATTCAGGTGAACAACAATTCATGTATTGTATGTAATTCATATTGTTATCATATTTTTTGACAACAAAACGCCAACTCCCAGGGTCCCATACCATTGAACCACGACAGTCTAAAGTGATGTCAAACTGCATTCATTCAGCAATGTAGACACACTCATGCCACTGGAATATCTTAAACCTCGCATGCCATTTTCTCCTTCCCAGAGCCTCTTTATTGGGACCTACCAGACGTTCAGAGAGATGCTCCAGCAGCTGATGATAGAAAATCCAGTTCCTTCCGAGCTGGAGAGGATCCTACAGGTAAGCCCTTGAAAGGAAGCCGGTGGTGCGTCTACACTGTAGCTTTACTGCAGT